ATAAGGAAGACGAAGCTGAAACACTATAAACTTGCATCAAACTTCAACTGAGCCCAAAGTTGCCATTGGTGCTTTGCAGAATCATTTATACCCCTTAAACTTTTCCACATTGCAAGCAAAAACTTAAAGGTATCTCACTGGGATTTTGTGTGATAGGCCGACACGTGGTCGCGCATAAATGGTGGAGTGGAAAGAAAACGATAAAAGAAAAGTGTGGCTCGCCCTGAATAACATCCAGAGCAGCTGACCACCAGCTTCAGGTTTGCTGGAGAACGTTAGCAAACGAGCAGCATCATGACGACTAAGGAACACAGCAGACAGGTCAGGGATCAAGTTTATAACAGGGTTAGGGTTTAGAAACATATCCCAAGCTTTGAACATCTCACTGTTGGAGTATTAGTTTTAACCCCACATTCATTCAAGTGGTGTTTGATGTACCGAAGTCTCAAGTTTACATCTTAAGACTACAATTATAATACTTAGTCACTGATGCATGTGTTTTTACGGCTAATTAAAGATAAGGCCGACTATATTCTATACTTTTCTTACTGTAATTCATCTCTTGATTGATAATTGATAATTGATAATCCGTCGTCCGACAATGGGAAGCGTATGGCACAACTGCAAACCTGCCGAGATGTGGCCGACCACCTGAACTGACAGCAAGGAGAGCATTAATCAGAGAAGCTGGCAGGAGGCCCACGGTAACTGGAGGTTCACAGGACAGCTATCAGTTGTGCACAGATCTGGCTTTTATGGAAGAGCGGCAAAAGAAAATCATTGTTGAACAAAACCAATGAGACGTCCCGTTTGCAGCCTCGAGCCATGTAGAGAACGCAGCAAACATGTGGAAGAAGAAGGTGCTCTAAAATGGAACTTCCTGGCCTACATACAAAACGCTATGTGCGGCAGAAACCTNGCCTCAAGTTTCAATTTCAGGCAGTTTTCCTCTCAGAACGTATTTTATTTATCAGTCAAAAACACCCACTGATGCCGTTTTAAGTCTCTTTAGTTTGTGGTGAAAACATTTCGCCGCTGATGATTTGAGATGTGAAACCGGTTTTCAGCACTTTCACTGTTTGTACATAGAAGCTTTGAAGACGGACGGCCAGAGACGCTTTAAATGACTTTAAAAGTTTACAGAATCATCGAAGGCTTCTTTGATCAGCCGCTTTACTTTTATCCTCTTTCATCAGAGGTGCGATTAAAAAAAGTCCAGACTGCCTGAACTTTTTGATCGGACCTCGCATGTTCAAAAGAGGAACGTTCAAGTTAACCTTTTTTTTAAAAAAAAAAATCATTCGTAAAACGTACCAGCAGTGTTGTGAATGTTCTGGATAATTTGCATTTTGCACATAAGTTATTTTATCGCCGTCGACCTGCGTTAGAACACAGAAATAAGTTTGTGCCATGTTGGATGTTTCTGCACATGATGTAAAATAAACACGCCTTGGTAATAAAAACGGGTTTTCTTTGGTTTGTTTGGGCTGAATGTACAATTCTGTGATTGTTCTAAATCTAATATTTTAATCAAGACATGAGAAACAAACCCGTTTATTGTTGGTGGTATTTATTTCATTGCACGTTTTCTATCAGATATCGATACGAGTTGGTGCTAATTTAATGAGATAATTACACATCTGGACTTAACATCTCCAGATAGGCTCCTACAGCTGAAATCTATGACTCGACGTTTTTATCCGTGTGCAGTGGCTTCCAGTAAAAATGTCGTTCAAGGTTTTTCCGTGAGCCGTAAATCAGCAGCACGTGGATTCAACAAACTTTCCAGTTTTATTCTGACCAACATTCTGAAGGCTTTTCCACGAGGTTTATCCGTATATCAGTCACAGCCTGGTTTATGGAGCATTTTGTTCCCAGAAACACGATGAAACTTGTTATTTTTCTCGCTGTCGACAGTGTTTTCTGATTTATAACGTAGTTAAAAGAGATCGTGTCTGGAAAAACCAAGCTGACTTCATCCAGTGTTCTGATTTCTGTCTGGAAGTTCANTGATGATCATGAAGCTGTGCTGGTGTCGCTGTAACCGGCGCAGGAAGCTTCTGAGTTAAGCGCAGTGGTGGGAAGCAGAGCTTTGATAACTTTGGTCTGTTCACAGTTAAAATGTGTTCTTCTGGTGAAATGCAGGACGCACCTGCATGAGCTGTTTTTTCCGCTAACAGAAAACAGCGTCCGCAGAAAAATAAAATCAAAAACCTTAAAGTTACTCCTCACACTTACTACATGGGAAATGGTCCATTTTTAAAAATGAAAATACAGTCGCATGTATGTAAACAAACTGGCATATAAGGGGTTAAAATCCTGAAAGGGCTGACAAGGATGAATTTCAAAAGAGACATGGTTTCCTCTGACGGATCGTTCCAGAGACTTTGGCAGAAATAAACCCAGGAGAGGCTGTGAAGGGCCTTAATCAGGACCATCTTACAAACCGTCCTACAACGTTCTGGGAGCCGCTCTAACGAGGCTGAAACTGGAACAATGTGCAACGATGCCCGATTCTGGAAAAACAGTCAGTTTCATGTTGTGTCACTGAACCGAGCTCCAAACCGAACCGAGACTTTGCTTCCTCTCCGACATGTGATTCTGTTTTATGTTTCAGTTTTCTATTTGTGTGTTTTGTAAATCCAGCAGACTTCCACCCGGGGTCACACGACGGCGTGGAAGCCGGACACTCTGCGGCGAAGCAGAGCGTGGACGTGATGAAGGACAAAGCCCAGAGAGACTTAGTGGGAGCTGATCCCTCCTCCAACCTGCCCGCTGTCCACGGCTGTCAGTCGGGGGAAGCGGCCGCGGGCCCGTCGTGTCTTGTCTCGGCCCGGCTGCCGTGGCCCTCGGGCCCCTGGACCCAGCCGGAGCCGAGGCCGGACGGAGAAGGAGGCAGCAAAGACGAGGACGAGGAGGAGGAGGAGGAGGACGTGGACTTTGAATGTTTCACGGAGGCGACGTACAGCAGGGATACGTACGACGAGATCGAGGACGGCACCGGCCAGGTCTCCCAGAGGCCGCTGGTCCCGGTGTCTCCGGACTTCACCATGACGGGCTCCGAGGTGAGCTGGCCGTCCACCAGCGGGGGGCAGGCCGGCTCGCTCACCCCCACCTCCAGCCGCCACTTATCCCCGTCGTCCGCCGCGTTCCCGCCGCCGGCGCCGTCCCCTCCGACCCCGTCCTCGTCGTCCTCGGTGTCGCTCGCCGGCGCCCCCTACACCGGCAAGGTCCACTTCTGCCACTGCGGCAAAGCCTACACCCTGAAGAGCATGAGGGACCGGCACGTGAAGATGCAGCACCTCAACCTGAGGCCCTTCGGCTGCCCCGTCTGCACAAAGTCCTTCAAGATGAAGCACCACCTGACGAAGCACCTGAAGACCCACGGAGGGCTGCGGCCGTACGAGTGCAGCCTGTGTGGGAAGAAGGTGATCTGGAGGGACAGTTTCCTCCGACACCAGGCCCGGTGTGAGCGCCTGGCCTCCAGCTCCTCCGCCAGCAGCAACGCCGCCAACACGGCGGCGGCGGCGGCGGCAGATATGGAGGAGAGCTTCAGCTACGGACTGGACGAAGGGGAGGCTTTTCTCCCGGCGGGGGGGCAGGTCAAGGTGGAGGAGGTGGACTTCCAGAGGGAGATGGAGGGCGGGATGGGGGGGCTGCTGAACAGTGTGACCGGGATGGTGGACGAGCTGCGAACACAAAGTCTGGACGCTGGCAGCCACGTGTTCAAACAGGAAGCCAGCGAGAGCTTTAGCGGGAATTAAAGCTTCGTCTCAAATCATCACAACTCTGGAACAAGTTCTCAGAACAAAATCTCAGATTTTCCTGAGATTTTGACGGCATGAAGTTTGGATGTTTCTGAAGATATTTGCTTTTTTGGGGGATATTTCAAATAGTTTCTGAGGTTTTCTTTTTTAAATTTGAAGCTGTTTGAATGACATCATCTCAGCAACTATTAAAGATAAAAGCCTTCACTGTTATTTCTCATCACATCCGTAAATAAAAGTCTGTCTACATATGATTTACCAATAAAATATGTCAACGCCACATAAAATTATTCCCTCATTTATATTTAAACAACCATTTAGAAACTCCAGAACTGTGTTTTTGAGCTACAACTTGTCACATCTGCTCATTTTGTGATGAAAATCCACAGAAGTAACGTTTTTTAAACTTTAATGTGACCCAAATATTTCATATTAAGAAAGTTCTACATGTGAGAAGCTCAGTGTGGTTCAGGACACATCACTGGCCGACGTCTTCTTGTTGTTAATGAGCTCAAAGATGGAACTTTTCATTAATGCTTCACAGATAATCACAGACGACATCTCAGGAGTTATTAAAGATAAAAGATTAAAGCGTCACTGTTATTTCTCATCATGTCGCTGATTCAATATTGGACGAGTAGATTAAAGATTATTATTGTTAATTATAA